ATATCAAGCGGTTTCGTAGCATATGATTTGCATTTTAACGAATTCTGCCCACTTCGGCTGCCTATTACTTTTGAAGTAATGGATACATAAGAATTAATATTAGCAGGAAATTATCGTTTTGGAGCTTTTTCAGAGTTAAAATATAAAGGCAGCATACGATGAAATAAATAAAGTACCGGTACAATCTGGTGCTTTACTGTCAGTTCTTGAAACGAAAAGGGTAGACGAAGTACGCTTGGCTAGATGCTGTGTGGTAGTGCCCTCCTCAGGTTCATGTTTGATTCCCTTTGAGCTACCCACCTCTCCGCCGTGCCTTTGAGTTACGCCAGACAATCCTTCAGTCCATCGTACCTGCCGGAATACACTACTATCATCCGGATCGTGAATTACCATCTGAAGGCTGGAAGTGGAACCTACTTTCGACTTGCTCGGACTCGATTCCACCGCAGCATCAATCTCTATATCGCCTTCGTTTCGCTGAGTGGCATCCTCCAATGACTCTGGTGATAGAAGGAAGCTGTTTGCCAATGCCTCAAAGGAACCGAACACCGAGCTAATCAATCGCATGAGCCCGGCCCAACTATCCTCTTGACGGGCAGTATCAATTGATGCTTTTAGTTCGTCCAGAGTAAGGCCCGAAGTGCGCAGAGGTCGAGGACTTGACCCTAGACCTTGAGTAACAGAGACAGGAGCCGTGATTACAGAGTCTAAATTGTATGTAGAGCCTGATATGGGTGATTTAACCGTCAAAGAATTGGCTAAGGACTCAAATGAGCCCGATCCATTGTCGGATAAAACGCCATCTCTGGAAGACGCTCCAGAAGCAGTAGAGGTAGAGGCAGCTGCAATCGCCGCGGCCAGACCCCTGCTAAGGAGAGCTGTTCGAGTGGAAGAAAGACCAGTGGCTGGAGGCCTTGAGGTATCGCCCAAAAGTAGGCTTGGCGAGGATCCGATATTGGAATCAGCGAAGTCGCAGGAGGTGCTTTGTGCAAGCGAACCAGCTTGAATTTCATATAAATTTTAAATAAAAAAAAGATGGAATAGTAACAAAAAGATAAGAAATGGTTGCAAAATTAGTATGCGAGACAGCGAAGCTTTAAAAACTGTTACTACTTGTCTAGAACGTTGGGAAAAATGAAGTCAAAAATGTCAAAAGCCAATGAACTTTTTGTAGACGCAATCCAGAGGGCACTTGGCTTTTTATTATATTCGACTAGGTAGATATAAGGATTGAAAAAGGAAGTCTACATTTTAATTATAGGTCTATCCGCTTAGTCGTAGCGGGTACAACTTAGACTAATAGGGGTAATAATAATGTCTTATTCCGCTGTTATTGGTGTTTATATAATCCCGAGCTGATAATATGATTTCATTGAAACAGCTCGCGGCACAATAATTTTCTAAGTTCAGGAGATAATGATTTGGCCTTAAGTCCTAATTTCTTTCAGTCTGACTTTAGTGGACAATGCCAGTAAAATTTACTCGTTTTTTTATTTAGCTATTACTATAGGAAGGGGAAATGGTTATCTAGAAGTGTAAAAGATAGTCTCAAATGGAGTTTTCTTTCAGGTAACTTAATTAGTAGTCGTAGCACTAACTTTATGATAAAAACAGCAAAATCGGACTTATCATGAGTAACAGGTTGTTCTGTTAATTAGATTTATTTCTAGAGTGATATTACAGGCCTGGATACAAATTTTCTGAGAGTTATATCAGCGGTCAGTGGGGGAGCTCCGTTAAAGGTGCATGTCTAATTACATAATGGAACGTAATATTTTCTTGAATCACTATAAATGTAGCAGCGAGTTTACTTTTTTCCTCAAGCTTTCAAGTTGAAAAATTGAAATTGAATAAAAAATAATATCTAAATCCCGTGAAAAAATTCTTTCAGTGGGTGAGAGATTTAGAGATTTGTTGAAACAAAAGCTAATAAATTAGGATCACTTCAAACGATGGAAATCAGTAGTGGACTAACATATAACAAATGATAAATAAAAGATGTATCATATTACAAATAAAATAAGTAATGGTTAAATTGTAGCCTGACTTACGCGAAGTATTAAACCAACTTTCTCTATCAATGGCTCTAGCAAGTACAGAAGTTAAAACTGAGGCCCTATGTAAGCTTTCTGTTGTACGGTCAGATGTAGCGACTGGATCCGATCTCGATGCTGCCCCTGTAGAGGCGACTACACTAGAAGCCTGAGCCGAGGTGCCTGAAACAGATCCGGTGGCGACAGAGGAAGTCAGGCAAGATCGCGCAGCGGAAGATCGGAGGCCAGATGCCGTTCGGTGGGCGGGAGGACCGAGTCGAGTGCGAATCGGCAAATGTCTGCGTCTGGAAGAAGAGAGAGCGAGGGTATTTAAAGTTGATGAAGAAGTTGAATGAGCAGAGGGCCCGGTGGGGGCATTTAAGCTTGAATCGAGAGCCGTAGTCCTGAAGGCACGATTCTGATTTTCTTGACCAGTTTCAATGAGGATACTTAGATCCATTCCAGATGTGGTAGAAACAGCGGTAGCAACTTCCCCATCCTCATCTACCTCAGCTTCTGCGTCTACTTCACTCTCCTCAACTTCCACATCGTCTACGTCGAGGCCGACGTCCAGACTGGGAGTGAGCGAGACCGCTTCATTTGATTCGCTCGAAACCAGTTCAGAAGCAGTCAAAAGGTGCATTAAAAGACTGCTGATACCATCGCTAGTCAGACGATTGGTTTGCGCACCAGTATTCCCTAGAGACAAATAAAAACGGTAAGTCAGAAGTCACAAAAAATCCTCCCGTGACAACAAAGATTTATTTAGGCAAATAGAGCAATTATTAAAAGACGGATTACTTTGAGAAAAATATAACACTATTATTTGAATAACATAGAAGTAGCATCTTGAAAATCTTTAGAAGAGATCATCTGTTTGTGTGGTTTAATATAAGGTTTTTATTCAAAATCTATTCATCAACCGATAAAAAAATGAATGACATACGATTAAAAAAATAACTTAAGTATATGATAAGTGAAGATAAATTTATACAATCAATGTATAGAACGCTTAAGTGGAGTGTCTGACGCTTGATTAACTTCAGCGCAAATCATTCAATAATGGAGGGCAGATGAAATACTAATTCCCTACCATTTTTATGTAGTTGGGAGTTTTTTCTCACCCGCGTGCTAAAATGAATCAAAGGAAACTTTTTTTCAGACGCAAAATGTGCATCGCAGAGGGTCCATTACTAGCGTTAAGCTAAGCTGAATACATGAAACTCAGTCCAAATGATGTTAGAGTATAGTCAGTTAGCTTATTGTCATAATGCTATTGGCTTCGTCTGTATCTTGTAAAACAGAGGATGTGAAATAAATCATATTAGTAAGGACGTG